CCGAAAAGAAATATTGCACAATCTCCCCCGGCCCACACACACATAGTGTTATATAAACATGCAACAGTCTCTGTGGTCCATTACTTCATCACAGATTGACTGCTCATTGGTCAGATGAGGAAATAGTGATCCTAAAAGTAGGCCTCGTCTAATGCTGTCTTCACTCTACGCCTTGTATATCATTAGTGCGGAGGAAGAGAGAGGTCGTCACTATGATGGGGAGAGTGGTGAGAGGGGCACAGCTGTAGCTGTCAGGGTAGAGAAGGAAACAGCAGTGGTGGAAGGGAGGGTCACTGTGAAGAGCATTAGCTTCCTCTGGTCTGTGATGTCAGCAGTGCTGCTAAAATAGCCCAGGAGAGGAAAGGGGGGGGAGTTACAGGGGTGAAACAAGGCCTGCTGGATGAGAGTCAGGGTCGGTCCAGGTGGAAGCTACAGTTAGTGCTGCCGTGAGATAGGGGTGACACTGGAGATGGGCGTGTATCGACATGTGGGGGTGATGAAAAGCTGTTAAAAATAACTCAGGTGAAATTTGCCCAGTTGCAGGGGTGAGTTAAGGTAAGGTGGATAGTGCAGAACATGTCCAACAAACTGAGTAAAAACACTTCAGTTAAGATCAGGCACTGGATCGAAAAGCAAAGCATGGTACAAAAGCAGGCTGTGCATACTAATAAGCTGTTCCCAAGGTGCTTCACTTCATTAGCTCAGTAGGATCTACTTCATTCAGCTTTGGATCAACTCTCAGTTTGAATAACTGTGTGCAGCTAAACCAAAGCAAACTCATATGTATAGAAAATGTTATCTACTGTAAAGTACTGGACTTTCACCACAGTGACGTAGAATTTGGAAAATAGTGAACTCATTAGTTTGACATGCCATTTTTGACTTTCACTAATATCTCCTGTCTTTAGTACGACACGGACCAAATTAGCAATAAACTTTTCTTATGCAATTTGCTCTCTTGAGAATTGCATACCTGGAAAACATGTCTCTAAAAGTTGGTAGACTGCTTCTTCACCAAGAACTGTGGCTCTGGTCAGCTTTATGGACTGATGGTAGAGGATTTTTTTTAATATATAAATACTATTATATCCTGTGGAGCTACAGAATTGTGGGGCAGTGGATTTATTTTAGAAACATACTAAACATAAAAATGGACTAAAGAGGTGGTCTGGGAGGTTTCTATGGATTTCTGACACTTTTTCCCACCTTAAAAATCTTGTCTTTAGAGGAATCCATCGTAATCCTCATGAATGAATCATAGCTACAGTTCTTTACAAAAAAGCAAAGTAATAACTGCAACCTTTCAAGCTTAGTTAGGTGAATGTTGGACACTCAAAAGACTCCCTTTGGGAGGAGTATCACTTTATACCATCTAGAAATGACACACACACAAAAATCGTACAAACAGACAAAGAAAAGTGCTACTCTTGCTTTGCACAAGCTTGACCTCGTTTAATTTTTAACATACCACTTTCCAGTGCGGACAGGGCTCAAACACCACAGCTGGCTGTATTTATTTATGTTTACCTCAAGTCTGAAAGGAGTCAGGTGGCAGACTGAACAAATAAGGATGAGGTATAAATATAGATGTGGTAATGTGGAAAGGAAGGATCATGTGCAGAGCTACAGTTAAAGAGAACAACAACCAGTGCAGGGATGAGCCGCGCATAACAAATGCAGGTTCCTCTGACACCTTTCACACCAGTGCCAGGCTGTCATACACAGAGGTGGCACAGATGACAAGGTGTAGATGGGTTGCTCCTCACCTCCTCTCTTGGATGAGCGGGATGATCTGGAGGAGGTGGACCACTGCTTGGTGAGTACGCCTCGTGGCTGAAGAGTCTCTCCAGCTGAGCTGACAACCACCTCCTCAGCTTCAATGGAGATGATGGCCTCTTTCGCCTCCTGGTCTTTGTCTGGAGATGGAGCCCCTTCATTGGCCTCCGTGGCCTCATCCGCCTGGCTGAACTGGGCCATCTTCCTGGCCAGGGCCAGCTGGGTTTCCAGCTCCAGCTGCCTGATGTCCTCCATGGTCAAACCACACCACTCATCCTGCCAGCACCAGGCCTGCCGGTGGGCACGCACCATAACCTTTCTCAGTCCTAGGAAGAAATGATGGAATATATTACACACCAAATGTTGATGTAAACTGAATCCTTCTCAATGTATTCCATTAGTAAAAGTAACACGCTACTACATTACTTGAACACTATAAGCATCAGAGAATGTTTACTCACCAACATCATGAATGAAGCGTTCAATCTTCGACTGCATGCCCCAATAGCGAAACTCCACTTTGCACAGTTTATAAGCACACATGATTGGGGTCTTCCGTGGGTTATTCTTGTACCCTTCTATCCAGTCGTCCTGCAGAGGACCCCTCTGGGTCTTGACTGACTTGTAGAGCCTTGGGTCTTCCTCTGCTTTGTACTCATGAGGGGGGATGGGATCTGTCACTATGTCAATTGGGTCTGCCAAAGATAATTATTAATCAGAACACACTGGCTAATCTAGCCAGGTGTCCACACATTCTGTTTAGTTCATGTGTCTTCAATATCATGCAATTGTGAATGGAGTAACTGCACCTGGGCTAGCATTTAAAGGTTTGAAATTCCTTTTACAACTGAATTTCAGGCTGACAAAGAATAGGTGATTTAATTGCAGTTATTACAACAAGTGGTTTAACTAGGTCAGTGCATGCTGTTATGAGATGCAGTGCCATAAACGGCCACAGGTGGGCCTCACCTGCTGCTTATGTTTTGACACATGACAGATGAAGACACCATTAGACTAAAACCTACTGGCACCAAACTGACACTTTAAATAAATGGTATAAGATTTGATTATTATTGTCTGTAATAGTTGTCTAATATAGAAACACAGGACACCATTTACACTGGGTTTGCTATGTAGTCAACTCTGAAATTTTAAGTAGCCTGATACACATTATTTTGTATTTTATTATATGAGTTTATGTTGCTGTAATGGTTCAGGATTAATACTAAATGATCTCACCAATGGCCCTCTGCCTCTTCTCTACTGCAGACATGTTGAAGACATCTGCCTGGTTGCCTGTGTCGGATTGGTAGTAGGTCTCAATGTCAATGGAGAACTTCTCAACAAAGGGACAGGTGTATCTGATGGAGACAAGGCAACAAAATTAAGTAAAAACATACACACACAGAACAGCTGCCCAAACACAGCAGACTGCATTATGGGTTGGCAACTGCCTTCATTCTTCCTTTGGAGCTGAATGGCTCAAGATCAGAACTACATGTCCAGAGGGAGTTTCAAAGGTGTCAAGAAATGCAGCTTTCTCCATTCATTGCTATGGGGTGAGCAAGCGTTCACCGCAGCTGGCGCCAATACCACAGGGGGCTCCAGCAAAACGATGCAACCCTGTGTGGGCAAAAAACCTGGATCTGGTTCAACTTTCACTGCACTGGACGGTGACATCATCCGGCAAAGGTGCTGCGTTGCCCAATCATGTACGGGATTGGGATGTGGACACCTATGGGAAGAAGTCTCTTCTGTTTACCTTGTCAGCATGAGCATTCACTGCTATTCACTGTCAAGTTTGGGCCAGTTAACATACCATCATGACACAGCATGCCTTTTCTTTAGTACTGGATGTTAAACTGTACTGTTTTTTTAAATCTATCAATACAGACATAGTGGTGGTAGAATTGGTGCCAAGGTGGCCTCCCCCAAGCATTATACAGCAAGGAGTTGTGTTTTTACCAGATCAGTTTGCATGCCCGCTAAGAGTGAAGACACCCTCTCACTGCTGAGGTCAGAAGATGTGTGAGGTGTCTGCAGCAACACTGTCACTGGTTGAACAGATGTGTCAACAGGCACTTGCAGCCTATCAATATCCTGACAGCTTAGTCAAGGGTACACCCCTTTTCAGCACCTTCATGTCTCTGTTTGTTACACCCCACACAGATAAACAGGACTGACACCCTGAGAATGAGGGAGCGCTGCTGGCCACCCAGGGCTGAGATGGTCTGCTACAAAATCTTCTGACTACTAGAGCAGGACTTCAGACTAGACATCATTATACTCACCACTCATGCAATTTTATAGGGATTACATTACATTACATCTGTTAGGTATTTTTAGTCAGATAGAAATTGGATAGATACTTTATGTATTAGAAATGTTTAGTGGAGATAGGATGTCTAGTTAGACTGTTAAATGCTTAGGCATGCTTATGAGTTTCTATAGGGTACATCTGGTCAAGGATAACTAGAGAGAAGAGTTGATGACTGTCAGCAGACAGGGTGTTTAATATTATTATTACGACGTGTATAACTGTAGCCTTAGCCATAATATGTTCTCATGTTTAATATCACGACATGTTCTAGAGGTCGTGAGAATGTTTTTAGCTACACACCACTTAACCAACAGACACACACTTTCACACGTTGATTTGCTTCATGTTTTGACTACTGCTATGGCCAGCTGCAAAGCTGGCAACAGAGACGTCCCGGTTGACGTTTCTGTGTAGTATGGGGCTAGCCCAACCGAAGGGATATAATGTATAGGCCTGGTGGGTTCAGGGGCTTTCATCTTACATCTGCCTGCGAGCAGTTTGGAGGTGCAAGATACCTGAGCATGTAATGTTAATTTTACCTGTGATCCTTTGAATATGAAGGG